GAGACACACAGAGAGAGGTATAGAGAGAGAAGAGAGAGGAGAGAGAGACAGAGAGACAGAGAGAGAGACAGAGGAGAGAGAGACAGAGAGACAGAGACAGAGAGAGAGAAGAGAGAAAAGAAGAGAGACAGAGAGACAGAGAGAGAGAAGAGAGAAAAGAAGAGAGAGAGACAGAGAGACAGAGAGACAGAGAGAGAGAGAAGAGCGAAGAGAAGAGAGAGAGACAGAAAGAGAGAGGCAGAGAGAGAGAGAGAAGAGAGAAGAGAAGAGAGAGACAGAGGAGAGAGACAGAGAGAGAGACAGACAGAAAGAGAGACAGACAGACAAACAGACAGATACAGAGAGAAACACAAATCTTCATATTCTCCTGTATTTGAAATTTTCCTCTAAAAGGGGTATTACATGTGCTCTTTTCTGTTTGATTGCAGAAAGAATCAATTAATTATTAGAATTATCATGTGTGTTTATATACCTACTTTGTGTAGGAATATTAACAGGAGAATGTGTTAGAATGTGAAGGGTTTCTGACAACTTTATGCTTCATGTATGATTTCTGGGTTAAATTAGAAGGTTCTGGTGAAATGGTGGGGGGGGGTTGGACTAGAAGACCTCCAGGGTTCCTTCCAACCCTATTATTTTATGTTCTGTGCAAATGACACCAGCCACAACATTCTCACTGTTACAAGGAATACATCCCTCTTCATGAGCAAGTACCTTCCTCTGTCTCATTAGGGAAGCAGAGAGACAGAGAGAGAGAAGAGAGAAAAGAAGAGAGAGAGACAGAGAGACAGAGAGACAGAGAGAGAGAGAAGAGCGAAGAGAAGAGAGAGAGACAGAAAGAGAGAGGCAGAGAGAGAGAGAGAAGAGAGAAGAGAAGAGAGAGACAGAGGAGAGAGACAGAGAGAGAGACAGACAGAAAGAGAGACAGACAGACAAACAGACAGATACAGAGAGAAACACAAATCTTCATATTCTCCTGTATTTGAAATTTTCCTCTAAAAGGGGTATTACATGTGCTCTTTTCTGTTTGATTGCAGAAAGAATCAATTAATTATTAGAATTATCATGTGTGTTTATATACCTACTTTGTGTAGGAATATTAACAGGAGAATGTGTTAGAATGTGAAGGGTTTCTGACAACTTTATGCTTCATGTATGATTTCTGGGTTAAATTAGAAGGTTCTGGTGAAATGAGTGGGGGGGGGTTGGACTAGAAGACCTCCAGGGTTCCTTCCAACCCTATTATTTTATGTTCTGTGCAAATGACACCAGCCACAACATTCTCACTGTTACAAGGAATACATTCCTCTTCATGAGCAAGTACCTTCCTCTGTCTCATTAGGGAAGTCTATACTTAGAAGTCAAAATCAATCAATCGGACGCTTCTGGGTCACCTTTTCAAATCCCCCCTTACTCAAAAGGACTAAAATCATTGTTTTTGCTTCTGTCGGTCTCAAAATACAGAAAACAAGGAGCAGAAATTCCTACTTCGAACTTTGAATAGGAAAAGAAATTCCCTCACAAAAGAGGATAAAACGATATTTTGTACCCCCTCTCTTCATTACACAACGTATACAATATTGTAATCCGGTTTTATTTCTGTCTCTGTCTCTGTCTCTCTCTGTCTGTCTCTCTCTCTGTGTCTCTCTCACTCTTTCATCTATCCCACTGGTTGAAAAGCCTCCGATACACTTTTCTCCTTGAAATAACTTCTAAGGAGATGGAAGCGTGAGAGCTGGGAGGCGCGCAAAGATTTGAATTCCTGCAAATAGCTGGCCAAATCACCTGAGAAACTCAGTAAAGAGAAAACATTGTGGTAAAAACGTTGTAGAGGAGTAAAATGACTCAAATACTAAACACAGAGGAAGGCATGAGATCACACCGTGATCCTGAAATGGCACACAGATTCTAAATGGAAGTCGGCTAAGTTGCCGCGATCGTACATTCTGTCAATTAAATGTCTGCTAAAACTCTTGTTTGATTGTTGTACCAGGGGTGTCAAACTTGTGTCGTCATGGTGTTGTCACGTGATGTATCGCGACTTCCCACCTTAGCTAAATCGGGTATGGGTGTGGCCAGCGCGTGACGCATTTGACCCCCCGGGCCAAAAGTTCGACAGCCCTGGTTGTAACTTTCCATTGGGCAAAACAATACATCCCAGAGCGTTAGATTTTGAATCAACCTGCCACAGATGAGTTAGTTTACAGAATGGGTCCAAAATCCAGGACTCACCACCTGTGTGGGATTAAATTTGGCATAGTTGGGGCTGCTGTGTCGCAGCCCCAGTCATGCGATCATCATTTCCAATGTTTACGGATAGCTTTCCATGAGGAAATTGAGAAGCTGATGGTGAGTTGGAAGCTACATCCACCACTTTTCTAACCAGTGGTCACCGGTTTCTCAATTTAGGTAAGGAAATAACTCTGAAAGGATGACCCAATGGGGCACTGGTTGTCTAGTGCTGAACAAATAGTTACTCAGTTGTTGCTACCTGTGGAGAGATTATGTTGTGGCCCGCCAGCAGCCAGAAGAGCTGGCAACAGAGTCGGACAGTGAGGAGGTTGGGGAGGAACTTGGGCCAGTCCTGGGGGCTGGGGAAAGCTCAGACGAGGGCTCTGCATCGGAGGAAGAGAGGGAGCTAGTGAGGCAGAGGAACAGCTGGAGCCCGTTCCCAGTGTGCGCATACACAGAGCTGCCAGTAGACAAGAACAACTAAGAAAGCAGGGTCGACTAGGGAGTAAAGCCACACCTTGGAGGTGACTGGCCCCTCCCATAGGAAACAAAAGAGGAGCGAACGGGGAGGGGGCTTTTGCAGGAAACAATTTATTTGTTCCGTGACTCTGAGAGACTCTGTGCCAAGTTTTGCCTTGTACTGCATTTGGAAATTATTTATTTATTTCATCAAATTTATATGCCGCCCTTCTCCTGTGGGACTCAGGGCGGCTCACAGAATAGAAACAACATAAAATAAAATAAAAGCCAATTTAAAATCCCCAGACAATTAAAACCTCGCAGCAGATCAGGGAATTTGCTGAAAAAGCCATGTCTTCAGGTCGGGCTTAGTTAAATTAGTTACCCGGCAGCCTTCCAAGCGAGATAAGGTCTGTGTTTATAAATATTCCTTTGAAAAACTATTTGGACAGGCATTGCTGACTGTGAATGAAAGGAATTCACAGTCGTGTAAGTAAAAGAGGTTTTGCCGGGACCAAGACTCTGCTTCCTGCTTTCTAAGAGAGCTTAGGTCAGAACAGATTACTGTTGGCCAATTTACAGGAACATGTAACATGTCTTCTGCTAACTCATTACAACTGTTTTCATCCATTACTTCGTGTCTTGTCCTCAGGTGCTTTGGAGAATAGGTCAACTCCCTCCTCTCTGTGACAGCCCCTCAAGTACAGATACTCCTCGGCTTACAACCATTCATTGACTGACTGTTTCAAAGTTACAACGGCACTGGAAAAAGCGACTTGTGACTGTTTTTCAAACTTACGACCGTTGCAGCATCCCCATGGGCACATGATCAAAATACACGCACTTGGCAACTGACTCAAAATATTTAGGATGGTTTGCGGTGTCCCTGGGGGGGTCACGTGATCCCCTGCTATGACCTTCTGACAAGCCAGGTCAACGGGGAAGCCAGATTCACGTAACAACTTGACAAAGGCAGTGGTTCACTTAACAATGGTGCCAAGAAAAGTCGTAAAATGGGGCGAAATTCACTTAACAGCTGTCTCAGTTATCAGCGGAAAAGTTGGGCTCAATTGTAGTCATATGTCAAGGACTACCTGTATTTGAAGACTGCTATAATATCACCCCTAGTCCTTCTTTTCATTAGACTAGACTCTCCCAGTTCCTACAACCATTCGTTATGCAATTTAGCCTCCAATACAATGGTGGGTTGCTCCCGGTTCGGTCCAGTTCTTACGAACCGGTAGTAATGGTGGCGGGAGGCTCCGCCCACCCGCCCCGACGTCATCACTGAAGATCTGTGCATGCACAAGCTACCATTGCAAACCAATAGTAAAGGTAAGTGGAACCCACCCCTGCTCCAATATATATGACGTCTATGAACCTGTGTATATAGCAGTTTAGTTGGAAGCACATTTCATGATCTTAATCTAAAGCAATGGCATCATTTTCAACTGAACATTGCAAAAAAAAAAAAAACACATGAAAACATTTTGTATACATCAAGCAAAGGCAAACTGCATTGTGAAACCATCCTGACATTCAGTGACCATAATGAAGACTGATTTGATTTAACTGCTGAAGGTGGGGGGGGGACTCAAAGCAAGCCTTTCTCCACAAAGTGCCAATTTACACAAATGCAAATGGTGAACATCACCAGACGTGACTGTTGTATCTGTTGGAATACAATGTTCACGTATTTTGTGCAACAACTACAGCCAACCGGTAGATGGCAGTGTTTATACGTTTGTAGTTGCATTTGTGGTATGCGCTATGTCTTTTCTCTGTATATAAAGTTTCCTGCTTCCTTCTGGCAGTTAAGCAGAAAAGCACATGTGGACTGTGCACTGTCTGTTCTGTAGGGCTATATACAGAATTTCTAACAGTATCGTTCCCAATCTGTTCCTACCGAAGTTAATCATCAGGGGTGCCTTCAGCAAATTTAAGACAAATGCATGAAGCTTTTCTCCTCCTCCTCCTGGTCTCCATAACAAATAAAAATGTTAGCTGTTTTACAATTAGTTACAACATTCAATTCCATTAGGCCAATTTGAATGTTCCAAAGATGCTTTGGCAACTAGACTTTGCTTCTTCTTGAAGACATTTCGCTTCTCATCCAAGAAGCTCCTTCAGTTGTGATAAGAGTCTGACAAGAAGCTCCTTGGATGAGAAGCGAAACGTCTTCAAGGAGAAACCAAGGCCAGTTGCCTTTTGAAGAAGCTCCTTTGGGACAACCATGACCTGCATGATTAAGCATCTCCATAGACATTTCGCCAAGGGTTCTGCAGAGGTGGACCATGGCTTCCACTTACGCCTACTTTCATAAATAGCTCGTGACTTCTCATACAGCTCGTATGGGTCAGGCTTTCTCGGGTCAAAGGCCTCTGTTGAATCGGGAAAAGAGCTTCTGTGAAGGGCTGGTGGGAAGGGAATATTCTGTGGCCCAGCTGGAGCAGATAAGCTTGTCTGTGGACTCCCTTGAGTCTCCCATTTTTCCATCATCTACAACGAATAAAAGAAAACAAGGCCTTGAGAACCTGCAGACAAACTCCATAGCTTTTTCTTTCTCAATCAGGTTACACCGTCTTGTTGTTCGGCAACATAATTTTGAAGATATCTACTCAATGCCAGAACTTATGTACAAGACTGTCATCTCAGCCATTTGTAAATAATTAACAATACTGTCAAAGTATAACATATGCAGAGAACATTGTTTTTAATGTTTTTCTTGGAGTCCTAGTAGAGATATATCCAGAGTGGTATTCAGCCGGTTCGGATATGTTTGACTGAACCAGTAGCGGAAATCGTGGTGGAGCAGCCCCAGCTCTATGCCATCCTATTTAGGCATGTTTTTGAGGCTGGGCGCATGCACGGAAGGCAGTGCATATGCGAACCGGGCGTGTGCGTGTGCAAAGTGAGTGCGCATGGGCGGGGTAAACTGGTAGTAACATAATGTGAAACCCACTGCTGGATACATCATATCCTAAGAAGTGGAGCAAGGTAACATAAAGACAGCAGTTCTGTCCCACTGGCCATAAAAATTTGGAGCTAAAGTAATATCTTCTACAATACATAATTCTAAAAGTATAAATTACGTCTAGATTCATGGGAACCACTTGCCATGCTCTCTAATTCGTCTCAAAGGGTATATTTAAAATTTGAACTATGATCTCTTTCTATAGTGGCTTGCATGCAAACCTTTGTCCAGAGATCCTGGCTGAAATTAAATTTGGGATTTCGGATGCCGTTATTTAATCCGGCTCGTTCTTGTAAATAAATTCACGTCTTCTTGGAAGAAAGTTAAGAGAGTGATTTCACTTCTTATAGGCTATGAGTTGAGGGTTAAGAGCGATAGACAATCTTTCAATTATTTGGTGCCTTCAAGTCAGGGGTCTCACCTGGTGACTGTTTTGGAATGTCCCTGCAATTTTTAAGAACATTTTTAAGAACATGTTTCGGAATTGGTTTGCCCTTGCTTTGCTCAAGGATTGGGTGAAAGTCACCAAATTGGCTTCATTCCAAGGTACAACCAGAATTCAAATCTCCAAATGCTTCCATTTTGGAGAATTGTTATCTCTACCTTAATTGATTTAAAACCTCTTCTAATTTCTCTCTCTGTCCTCTCTCTCTCTCTCTCTCTCCGTCTTTCTCACCCACACCTACACCCACTCTACTTACCTCTCTCTCTATCCCTCTATTATTTCTGTCTATCTCTATCTCTATCTAAATCAATCATCTAATCATTTATCTATTTATCTCTCTCCATCTCCCTGTCATCCTGTCTCGTTCTGTCTCTCTCTCTCATCTCTCTGTCTCTCTGTCCTTTCTGTTTCTCTGTCTCTCTCTCAATCATCTCTCTCTCCTTCTTTCTCACCCACACCTACACCCACTCTATCTACTTAACTCTCTCTCATCCCTCTATTATTTCTGTCTATCTCTATCTAAATCAATCATCTATCATTTATCTATTTATCTCTCTCCCTCTCCCCTTCTCTCTGTCCTTTCTCTGTCTCTTTCTCATTTCTCTCTCTGTCTCTCTCTCATCTCTCTCTCTGTCTCTCTCTAACGCTCTCTGTCTCTCTGTCTCCGTCTCCCTCTTTCTCATCCACACCTGCACCCACTCTATCTACTTACCTCTCTCTCTATCCCTCTATTATTTCTGTCTATCTCTATCTAAATCAATCATCTATTTATCTCTCTCCCTCTTCCCGTCTCTGTCTCTCTCTACCTCTTTCATCTCTCTGTCTCTCTGTCGCTCTGTCTCTCTGTCTCTCTTTCCCTCTCTCTCTTTCTCACCCATACCTACACCCACTCTATCTACTTATCTCTCTCTCTATCCCTCTATTATTTCTGTCTATCTCTATCTAAATCAGTCATCAATCATTTATCTATCTCTCTCTCCTTCTACCTGTCTCTTTGTCTCTCTCTGTCTCTCTCTGTTTCTCTCTTTCAATCCTCTCTCTCTCCCTCCCCATTTCTTCTTTTAATTGGTTTTTAAGTGTACATTTGCCAAATAGTCCTGTCTCCACATGGACAGAGAGAAGGGAATGCTTTATAGATCAGTATCACGAAATCCAGTAAGAAATATTATTGCTTTCAAGTCGATAGGTCTATGATTAAACCCCTTTTACGGGCATATCAGATTTTATATTCCTATATTTGGCAGCAGGGTACCCTAAAAATCTCGCAATCCAGGTTATTGTTTTCTACACGCAATTATTTCCTTCTCAGTCATGGATCTTACATTGCTGTGCATGCTAACAACAATTTGAAAAAAAATAAAATAAAAAACTTACAGGCTTTGGAGTTTTCCATGGTGAAAAGAATCCTAAAAAAAAAAAAGAAAAGAAAAGAAAAAGAAAGGAAAGGAAAAAGTAATGAGAACTCAAATATGATTAATTTGTCATCATTCTTACCGACATCTTTATCTCCCATTTCTACGAATTGCATCTTATCATCCATTACCGCAACAGGACATATGGAAAAAGATTATTTCACACTCAATCATTTTCATATTTAAAAACAATTGTCAGAGATAAATTTCCACCGTACAAAAAATAAATTAGAAAGGTTGTTGTTGTTGTTTTTTTAAAAAATCTCTAATTAGTACAATCAGAAGCTAGTATCAGCAGGGTTTTTCCCAGCTTAATATATTATCTGTCTATCTGGATGATTGCCTGTCTGTTTATCCACAGTATCTACATATATACAACTGAAGTTCTAGTGGATAATCACTTAAATATGAGCCAGCAGTGTGCAGCGGCTGCCAAAAGAGTTAATGCGATCCTAGACTGCATTAACAGCGGAGTAGACTCAACATCACGTGAAAGTGTTAGTACCATTATATAAAAGCGTTAGTAAGGCCACACTTGGAATACTGCATCCAGTTTTGGTCGCCACGATGTAAAAAAGATGTTGAGACTAGAAAGAGTGCACAGAAGAGCAACAAAGAGGATTAGGGGACTGGAGGCTAAAACATACAACGCACTGTTGCTGGAATTGGGTATGTCTAGTCTAGCGAAAAGAGATGCGGTGGCTCAGTGGCTAAGATGCTGAGCTTGTCGATCGAAAGGTCGGCAGTTCAGCGGTTCGAATCCCTAGTGCCGCGTGACGGGGTGAGCTCCTGTTATTTTGTCCCAGCTTCTGCCAACCTAGTTTGAAAGCAGGTAAAAAATGCAAGTAGAAAAATAGGGACCACCTTTGGTGGGAAGGGAACAGCGTTCCGTGCGCCTTTGGCGTTTAGTCATGCCGGCCACATGACCACGGAGACATCTTCGGACAGCGCTGGCTCTTCGGCTTTGAAACGGAGATGAGCACCGTCCCCCTAGAGTCAGGAACGACTAGCACATATGTGCGAGGGGAATCTTTACCTTAGTCTAGTGAAAAGAAGAACTAGAGGACACATGATAGCAGTCTTCCAACATTTGAGGGCTGCCACAAAGAAAAGGAGGTCAACCTATTCTCCAAAGCACCTGAAGGCAGGACAAGAAGCAACGGATGGAAGCTAATCAAGGAGAGGAGCAACCTAGAACTGAGGAGAAATTTCCTGATGGTGAAAACAATTAATCAGTGGAATGATTTGCCTCCATAGGTTTTGGGTGTTCCAATACTGGAATTTTTTTCAGAAGAGATTGGACAGCCATTAGTTTGAAATGGTAGAGGGCTTCCTGCTCAAGCAAGGGATTGGACTAGAAGACCTCCAAGGCCCCTTCCAACTCTGTTATTCTGCCTGGCCTAAATAGCTCATCTAGATTTCAACAATGTAGCATTTATCAAACTATCATTTATATATATATATATATTCATTCTGAGGTTTTCGCGGGTATTTGTATGTAGGTCTTTGGTTATTCGGGTTTTCTCCCGCGTAAAATTGGAAGTGTCTTGGCGACGTTTCGACAATCAGAACACACCTCCACCCAATCAGAACACAGCCAAGCTCCCACCCAATCAGTTCACACCCCCACTAGCAGTTAAAAGGAAGAAACAGCTGCGATCTCACATTGCTCCTAGAAGCACAAAGCCGAAAACACCAGCCTGAAGATGACGAATGAGACTTTGTCAAAACGTTGCCAAGACACTTCCAATTTTACGTGGGAGAAAACCCGAATAACCAAAGACAATATATATATATATATATAATCATTAATTTATAGTCACTTTCATACCCTTCTACAGGCATTTGTTGGGGGTTGGACTAGAAGACCTCTGAGGTCCCTTCCAACCCTATTTTCTATGCTCTTCCCCAATGTGGGTGTGGCAGGTTGTTTTTTGGCCTGCCTGAGGCCAGTGGATCTGGCAGCAGATTCGGACAGTGAGGAGGTTGGGGAGGAACATGGGCCAGTCCTGGAGTCTGGGGAAGGCTCTGATGAGGGCTCTGCGTCAGAGGCAGAGAGGGGGCCAGGGCCGTCTGACAGTTATCAGCTGCCTTCGGAGTTAGACATCAGTGAGGCAGACGAACAGCTGGAGACTGTTCCCAATGTGCGCATGCGCAGAGTTGCCAGATGAAAGGAACAGCTAAAGAACAAGGGTCGACTTGGGAGTAAGGCCACAGGTGGACGATGAAGGGCCCCTCCCAGAGGGAATAAAAGAGGAGCGAAAGGGGAGTGGAGTTTGCAGGAGATGATTAGTTCATTCCTGCATTCTTGCCAAGTATTGCGAGCGTCTGAAAGATCTCGGCCTGGCCACTCTCCAAGCCTGATCAAGGTCGGTAATTGTGAACTGTCTTGAAAGACTGTGGGAGAGGAAAGGTTTTGCTGGAGAGGAATTCACTGTAAATTAAATAAAAGGGGTTTATCGAGACGAGGACTCGGCTTCATGCTGCTGGGGAAGCCTAGGTCAGAAAAGTTTGAAGCAGTGGTGGATTGCTACTGGTTCAACCCGGTTTGGGCAAACTGGTAGTAGCAGTGGTGGGAGGCTCTGCCCACTCACCCGGACATCCTGTGCACGACCCCAATAGCAAACTGTTAGCGAAAAAATTGAAACCCACTACCGGTTTGAAGGTGGCTGATAGAGAATATCCCACTCCCTCCCTACTTGTGCCTCACTCCTTCCCTCCCCATCCTCCTTAATTTTATTTTAAATGCATTTTTAAATTTCAGATCTTTACTTATTGTTTTAATGTTCTGTACTGCATTTTATTTGATGCCTGTAAGCCGCCTTTTGCCGAACTGGGTGGCCTATCAAGTTCGATCCATACAAAGGTTTACAGGAAACATTTTTAATCGTGTAAATTGCCTAAATGTAGATTATCCACCGAAACGATAAAAGCGCACAGAGACCCAATCTTTTTTTATGCTCACCTTTGTAAAAGCAAAATCCAATTTAAATATCCGAGGCTCGGTCTCAGCCTCAGAAGGGAGACTTACACTGTACATAACAAAAAGGGTGTCTTCCTTTACTGCCGTATGTGCTTATTTCTTTTCATTTTAGGATGGAATGGTGTAACAAATCTTCCGGCTTCCCAGTGTTACAAGGCTGCTTTGAAGTATTGTTTGCATTTCACAAGGTTCATGAATTTAGTGAACAGGAAACGTTCTGTGCATAGGAAACAGGAAACCATCTTTTGGGCTAAGTTTGTCCTATAATTTATATATGAAGGTGAGTATGGAAAAACCCCAGGCTTTTACGGATACCTTACTCTCTATCTACATCTATCTATCATCTTGCTATCTCTTTCTCTTTCTTCCTCTCCCTCCTTCCCTCCCTCTCTCTCTCATCTATTTATCTCCACTCTCTCTCTCTCTATCATCTGTCTGCCTGCCTGCCTGCCTGCCTGCCTGCCTGCCTGCCTGCCTGCCTGCCTATCTATCTATCTATCTATCTATCTATCTATCTATCTATCTATCTATCTATCCATCCATCCATCCATCTATCTATCTCCTGTTTGTCTGTCTATCTGTCTATCTGTCTATCTGTCTATCTGTCTATCTGTCTATCTGTCTATCTGTCTATCTATCTGTCTGTCTGTCTGTCTGTCTGTCTGTCTGTCCGTCCGTCCATCCATCCATCCATCCATCCATCCATCCATCCATCCATCCATCCATCCATCTTCTGTCCGTCTATCTATCTATCTATCTATCTATCTATCTATCTATCTATCTATCTATCTATCATCTATCTACTGTCTGTCTGTCTGTCTATCTACCTACCTAAGTCTTATGGGAGAAGCCAATCATCTCCAAGCCTTACCCCCGAGTTGTCCCTTTTGTTTTAACTGTTCTTGCCTTCTGGCAGTTCTGTGCATGCGCACACTGGGAACAGGCTCCCCCTGTTTCTCTACCTCGCTGAGGTCCAACTCTGGAGGCTCCGGAGGCAGCACGTATCTCCCAGATGGCCCTTTCTCTGCCTCCGATGCAGAGCCCTCGTCCAAGCTTTCCCCAGACTCCAGGAGTGGCCCATGTTCCTCCCCAACCTCCTCACTGTCCGACTCTGCTTCCAGCTCCACAGACTGCTGGCAGACCACAAGAGTAGAAAGCAACAAGTTTGATACCCTAATCTGTTGATTTCATTCTATGGAAACTGGCCAAACAGAGGACTTTCTAACTAATGGCTAGAAAGCATTTTCCAGCACAATGTTCTGTAGCTGGATTGTTTTACAGCTCCCATCCAGAGGTGGTATTCAGCCGGTTCGGACTGGTAGTGGCAACCTGCCCGGGTGCAATCCTGTCCTATATTGCTGTGTTGTTTGACATCACATGCATGCGAGGACGGTGTGTCCCAGCGAATTGCTGTGTTGTTTGACGTTGTTGTGACTCCGACCCCCGAGCCCGTCTTATCGGAGGGAGACGACTACGAAAGTGAAGGAGAGGAGTTGGCCAGGCCTCCCTCTCCAGGACCTTCCTCTCTGGCAATGCCTCAGGTGTCTCCCGAAGGAGAAGAGATTAGCCAGGAGCCAGGTATCGCCGAGCAGTCACAGTAAGACAGTGACGGAGATAAGTCTTGGCTGGATCCACGCCAGTGTCGGAGAGACAAGCGCACGCAGCAGAAAAGGAGGCGTGCCAGAGATTAAGCTGAGTCACTGGACCACACCCTACAGGGGATAAAAGGGGGTGTGGTGGCCATTCAGGCTCTGTGACGGACAAAATTAAACAATTAGCGAGTTGCATTGTATCTCTGAAACTACGTTATCTGCATGCCTTGGATTTAATACGGACTGGACTTGACAATTCTGTGGCTTTGTGTATTTGTTTTGGTTCTCTGTGAGTAAAGTTCTTGGCAAGCAGCTACTGGGTTTCTGCCAATCCTGTTATTGAAGGAATTTATTGTCTGCAAGTTTTATTTAACTCCTGGCTGACTGTTTGTGTGCGTGTGTGAGACGGGGACAGAACA